TTCCCCTATTAAAAAAAAGGTGTTTCCTTGCCTCTTCCCCACAATTATGTTCAGGTTTTTTACCCTTCGCTCATATTCTTAGGAACCCTATACCGTCAGTGACTTTTCCCTCCAGTATGTTCAATCTCTCTCCTGACTGGGTCCTGACCATCAGCATTTAAACACGCTCAAATCTCTTCCCCTTAAAAAACAAAAGACAAAAACAAATGATTTCAACTCACTTCCCCCTCCAGCTACTTCCCCCTCTCTCTAATTTCTCAAGTTTCCTATACTCGTTATTTCCGTTTCCTCACTTGACATTAATATGTCAATCCACGCTAAGCAGGCTTCTGCCTCAATATTTGCACAGAATCCCCTTTGTCAGGATCACCTATAATCTGTCACAAATCCAACTGATGGAGTTCAGGGCAGGCTGACCCAAGATTCGCCACTCTGGAATGTGGATTATTTTGAGCTGAAGACAATAAAGGCTCAGAAGACTCAGGAAGAACATTTGACTTTCCCCCAAACTGCCTAATAGAATTTAACATAGAAGACCTGTTCCCGGAAGGAGCTAATATCATATGATAGCTAACATATAACGTAAAATAGGAGTGATAGAAAGGCACCAACAAGCCCATTTTGGGGCTTGTACCAGCAAAACTTATTTAACAAACATATGCATTTCCATCTCCATGTAAATTGTCTTCCTCCCCTCTGAAGTCCCAAACCACTACCCCCAACATCCTCCTTTGCCTTTAGCTGAAGATGATATTTAAGGTGGCAGTTTTGGCCAGATGGCCGTTACTCAGTTTTCCTGGGTTTCTCCCATGTGTACATTATAAAGGTTTGTTTGATTTTCTCCTGTTATTCTGTCTCATGTTAATTTAATTTGTAGCCCAGCCAGAAGGACCTAGAGTAGGTAGAGGAATTATCTTCTTCCCCTACACAATGCATATTTAAAATGTTAATTTTCTCTGAATTTTCAGTAGCTTTTCTCAGCTGGCCACTTCCTCTGGAAATAGTTTCTTCCCTTGGCTTCCCCACCTTCGGCTCTGGCAGCCCTTTTCAGCCTCCTTTCCTGGGTCTCCAAATGTTGGAGCCTCCTCCCTTTTCATGTGTACCCTCTCCCTCAGTGGAATCTCTAGGTACAGCATCTACAAGGCCCTGCACCATCTCCCCTCCCGAACTCATCTGCTCTCCCTCTTGTTGACTCTCCTACAGCCACGATGGTCTCCTCACTGCTCCTTAAACCTGCTAGGCAGAAATGAGTTTTTGGAAATATTTCAGTAAAATCAGTGAATTAGCTTTCAACACACTGGCCAAGCATGCGTCCCTCTAAGGAAACTGTGTGGGCCTATTAGGTCCCTGAGCTTACATTTAAGTCACCTAAAAACAAAGCATAAGAGGTAGATTAGATAATGAACTCTTTCAGCTCAAACATACTACTTAACAGTTTTTGTATCAAGTTTTTTTTTTTTTTTTTGTGAGGAAGATCAGCCCTGTGCTAACATCTGCCAATCCTCCTTTTTTTGCTGAGGAAGACTGGCCCTGGGCTAACATCCATGCCCATCTTCCTCTGCTTTATATGGGACGCCGCCACAGCATGGCCTGCCAAGTGGTGTGTTGGTGCACACCCGGGATCCGCACCAGCGAACCCTGGGCCACCGGAGCGTGCGCACTTAACCGCTAGCACCACTGGGCCGGCCCCTGTATCAAGTTTAAATCTGGCAAAAACATTTTCTTGAAAGGGAGATGCTTGCTTTTTCTGAACATTCCTAAACATATCAGTTCTTCAGTTCTGTTCGTTATCAATGTAGCAGAGATTCTGTGCATGAAAATTCTTTTGTGGATATTTTTGGCCTGCTCATCATGAGATAATTTATTACCATCATCTTGCAAAGGATAAGGATGGAACAATTAGAGAATGAATTAAGAAACGAATGTGAATAGACACTTCACAGTTTGCTCCTTCAACTAAAAAGCTGATACTGATGATTACTTCAGGCTCAAGTTCTAATATTAAGCTTGTTATGATTTCTCAAATAATACCTACAGAGGTTGAGGCAAAGAAGAAAATAAATAAGCTAAACAAAATCCCACAGCATGGCTATTGGAAAGGGGGACCCTCTGCTCCTCTCCCCATTGGACTGATCCATGTTTTGTGCCACCCCACCCCCCTTGATGCAATTGCATTTTTGAAGCCAGGTAATACATTAACATGGTTCAAAAAAGTCAAATGATATAGAAAAGTAAACACACACGGAATCTCACTTCAATCTGTGTCCTCATCCACCATTTACATTTTTACTAGTTTCTTTATCTTCCTGGTGCTTCTTTATGCAAATGTATATTCTTATTCCTGCTCCCTTTTTACACAAAACACAGCCTACTATCTATAGTGTTCTGTGTTTCATCCTTTTCCACTTAATCATATATGCTGGAGATCGTTACCTATCCGTTGAGGAGGGTCCTCCTCATTTGGTTTCACAGCCAACTGTGTTCCATTGTGTGGATGCATCCTCGTATACTTGTCTTCTTCACAGTTGGGCTGCTGCCATTTTTCACCATTAAAACAATGTTGTGATGAATAATCGTGTATAGAATTTTGTACACATACAGGTGTGTGAGTAGTCTGGATCCCAAGAAATGAGACTGCTCCTTCAAAAAGTAAATAATTTGATAGGTATTGCCAGATTCTCCTCCCACTAATGGGAGAGTACATTTCCCCATAGCCTTGCCAACAGAATATCAAACTTTAGGATTTTTGTCAATCTGATAGATGACGGATGATACCTTAGTTTAATTTGCATTTCCCTTATGATGATGGATATTACGCTTTTCACCTGAGTGTCAGGGACATTTGGTCGTTTTCTGTGAACTCTCTATTCGTACCCTTGGCCCATTTTCCTATTGGGTTCTTGGTCTTTTTTTTTTCAAGGTAGTTTATTATTTCTTAAATTTTTATTTTATTGAGGTCACGCTGGTTTATAACATTACATAAACTTCAGGTGTACATAATTACATTTCAGCTTCTGTATAGACTGCATTGTGTTCACCACCAAGTCTAGTTTCCATTCGTCACCATACATATATGCCCTTTTACCTGCGTTTTGCCCTCCTGGTCTTCTTTTTAATATCTAAGACTTATTTATAAATAGTAGGGGGATTAGAATGGGCTCAATTTTCTCAACATATTACAGAACTACAGCTTTAAGAGTCTTAAAAAAGTTATTCATGCCACCCTCTACTCCCTGGAAACAGGAATCCTCTATTCCCAATTAGCAGAATTTTATTTAGTTTTCTGACCTAAAAGTAATATATGTTCATTAGAAGTATTGGAAGAAATTTAAAACTACTCATGTTAGCACTTTCTTATATTCCTTTACTCACCACATAAAATAAAAAAAGGGGAACATCTTTCGCTATCACAACCTCATCTCCCAGAGGTGGCCATCAGTGAACATCAATGGTTTGTTGCATAATCCCCTAGTTCTTTTTCCTCCCTCTATTAGTCCTATTTAAAATTTATGTGGTGAAAAATGGTTTCATTTCAGCAATATCCTTTATACTCTGTTACTCACCATTTCACAAAACAAGGAAACAAAAACATGGTCATATTTAGGGACTGCGATCCACGCAAACCCAGTATCCTTCCTGGCATCATGGTTGTTTTAGGAACAGGGCCTTCTGGGAGGGCCCGGGAAGAACAGAAGTCTGCTTATTCTGTTTGGTAATTTGACACCATTTCAAAATATTTGATTATAGGGTCCTGTTGCATCCTCTTTGGCCCTTCCAATTTAAGTTCTTGGTTAAAAATATTTTAACTCCAATTAGCAGCACAACATCAGAAACAATAACCAAAAAAACTTGAACGTGTTGGTAATTTTAAATTAGAATTTATATTTTGAAATAAAAATTCATAATAAATTTTTAAAAAATTGTCACATGAGAACACATCTTAAGATACCATTACATACTTCATTTACTCTGAAAAAGTTACAGACACAATAAAAACAAATAGCTGTCATTTATAAATGTGAGTTGTTTTCTTTGAGCACAAGCAAGCTCACGTGGAACATCAGACTGACAACCAGTGAGGCACCAGGATGCAGAGACGGCTCAACACCTCCCTGAGTGAGGAGGCTGGAGCCTGGCCTCTCTGGCCGGGGGCCCCTGCTGTTTCTTCTCTCGGCCTTCAGTTTCCCCATCCACCAAAGGAGGGGAAGACCAGATGATTTCTCAAGTCCTGTGTACCATGGTCTTTTCACTTCAGGGAACAGTATGTAATTATAACAGTATCATTTTCGCTTAACTGTAAACTTCAACAGAAAATAACTTAACATGTTAGCTCAAAAATTTTACTACAAAGAGAACTATGGTTTTTATTGTGACCCTCATCAACTTTGGAAAATTTCCATTTCAGAAATTTCTGATTTGGTTCACTTTCTTGGAGATTTCTGCCTTGGGGGCATCCTCCACACACATCAGTGCATATGAAGAAAGCAGCCAGCAGTCCTTTGTCTGAAGCCACGGTCCCTGGCTCTGCCTTCCTCACACAGGCTGCACCATGCCGCTGCTGGGGCTCAAACCAGCTTCTAATTACAGAGTGCCCCGCTGACTGATTTATTGTTTCTTCCTTAATTTCACTGTTTATTGCAGAAGTTGTATTTTAGTATGTTCCTGTAGAATTTCTTCAAAACACACTGCTATTCAGTTTGACCAATAATTTCAGGTTTTTACATAATAGCTCTTCAGATATTTTGCTGGTATGTGAAGCTCAAGAGATTGCACAGGGACGAATATGGCAGGACACATATGCTGGTGGATGAGCTGTATTTCAGCACCTTATAGTTCTAACTCTGTCTTCCTCTATTAATGTTGCATTTAGTCTTAAAAGAGTCAACTTAGCTTGCTCACACTTTCTCCCAAGTAAAATACGTAGTTTCTTTTTCAATATTAAACACAATTTTTTTTTACAAAGACATGCTCAGGATAAACATCACAAAACTATGCACTCAGATATATGATCTAAAAATACAGTTGACTTATCTCCAAATACCAATGCTAAAATCAAGGTCTTTGAGCCTTTGACCATGCCCATGGATGGATCCCAAGTTCTAGGATACATTATTCCACATCATCATTTCTATAGTTTGACAAAAACTAGGATGCATACTTAAATGAGAGCATATCAATACCACTGAAATTCATTACTGCAATGTTTACCTTTTTCCATAATTACTTGAAAATTCATAGCACAGCATCACTAAAAATTGCAAATGATGAGAGCTGTTAATTTACAATCATTTTCTCTCATGATTGTACCACTATCCATTTTTATTTATTCCTAATTAAATTCAATTTCAACTACCTGATTCTGAGTTTGAGGTAGCTTCCCAGTAGTTCTATTGTGAAAGTGGCATGTTTCAAAGTACCACCTGGAGGATCAGATTAGAGTTAAATGAGAAAAGAAAATATAGTATCGATTATACCATTTCCTCCATTGACATACAAACTTAAAAAAAAAAATCACCCATTTCTTTAGTGATAAAAATACAGTTCTTTTGTCAGCATAGACACAATACATGGAATCTGCTTCTTTGCATGAAAAGCTGCGTCAAGGGAAAAGGACTCAAATTCCATGGCTACCTTTCGGTTAACCCGAGTAAGAATGTGCATAAGCTCGAGCTTGTGAGCGTACAGTTTCAGCATAGCACAAAGTGACTGGATGAACCAGGATCCCTCCTTCGAATTTCGCCAGGAATAGTAACCTGCAAAGCAAAATATAACCAAAATACCATGGATATGTGATCTTATAAATTATTACATAATCATAAAGGTAAAAACAAGCATAAACTTTCACAGGTATTATTAGCTATATAAACAACAAACAAACGACACCATTGGTTTCAGGGGAAATGATGCTGGAGGGGAAAAAAAAAAGTATGTTGTGTATACACCTATGCTTTCAACAAGGCAAAAAGAGTTGTGGACTAACTTCACTGTTGAATTTTTTAGAGTTCTACTGTCTGGGCTTCCCTTCCAACAGGGAAGAACAAGGAAACACGCAGAAGAAGATGCAAACGCAAAGATACAAAAAGGATCATTCTAAGAAGCATGGTGTTGCAATCAGACTATTGGCTTATCCAAGAAATAAACTGCTTATGCACACACACACATTTGAGTGTCCCAAATCTGTCTACAAGGCATCCGATTAAAGTATAATAAATATATTACAGAGTATTAAAAAAGGACCCAAAAGGGAAAATAGTGTATTGTACTTTTTTCATCTTAACTACTGGATCCATTGTTTTTAATTTAGAAGTACTTTACCCGGAAAGATGCTTGGAGATTAAGAAGGAAACATGTTGACCACATTTGAAAATGTAACACTGTTTAAAAATACATTTGTCCTATATTTCCAATCTTTGTGACACCCTGAGTTAGTCATACAATAAAAAAAAACTGTATGACCAATAACTATTTATTTATATGATGACATGCAACATAACTACAAAGAAGTGGAGGTTAGTAACCTCTTCATACGTCATATTTTACTTTATTTCTTTACCTCATTCCATTTCAACCCTCTCACATACTATTCATGTTTCTCTTTTTTATTTTATATCTTCCAAAGAATTCCCGGAAATCCTACCTCTCTCTCATTCTAAGAAGTGGACGAAGCTCTGACTTGGCCTATAACACAACATCGTATCCTACCTGGTATCCAGTTCATGAAGACACTGGGTAAGTATGCTTTCTTATATAGGCATATTTTCTAGCCAACCTTGGCTAAAGACAATTTTTTGAGACTTCTCTGTGGTTAAGGTACCTTGAAATACAGCCACGTTAGCTGTTTTTATGGATATCAAAATCTTGACAGCCTTTGGCGTACATTCTTCATTGTTTAAAATCTACATGTAACATTCCTTATCTGTGGCTTTCTCACCAGGTGCTGTAGAATAAGCGTACAAGAAGTCCGCCTCAACTGGTATTTTCTGACACGCCATGTCATCCTCAACACCACTGTCAGTCTCAATGCCACAGTCCAGGTCTGTACCTCGGCAGGCCTAGAGGTTAAAAAACAAACATTTATTTAAAAAAATGTGTGTGTCGGGGCCAGCCCTATGGCGTAGTGGTCTAGGTTGGCATGCTCCGCTTCGGCGGCCTGGGTTCGGTACCTGGGTGCGGACCTACACCACCCGTCGGTGGCCATGCTGGGGCGGTGACGCATATACCAAACAGAGGAAGACTGGCACAGATGTTAATTCAGGGCAAATCTTCCTCAAGCAAAAAAAAGAGGAAGACCGGCAACGGATGTTAGCTTAGGTCAAATCTTCCTTAGGAAAAGAAAAAGTGTGTACATAAATAACTGTAATTTCTACGAAATATAAAAGCCGTGTAAAAATTGATGTTAATTATGCAGAATCTTTCTGATGTAAGTCTAAAATTAAAATTTATTCTGTATTTCCTAAGTGGTGGTTTAAATGAATAAAAAAGTAACAACAGTTCAGTAGCTTCAGGGAAAAAAATAAATCCCTTGGATAATCCACAAGTGAGTAAATTAATCTCCAATTAATCCTCAATAACCGAGTTGCTCAGTTATCTATTACCTGAATAATGAAAAGTTTGGGTTTTCCAGTTAGACTTCTGCAATAATCCCCTCTGAAGAAACATGTTAATTTTTTCAGGTCAACAGGTCCATCTGTTCCAAAAATTATTCCTTCTTCACCATGGCTTAGAAACACACAAATAAAACTGCTCCTTCTGCTATGATCTTCTTTAGAAACTGGAAAAATGTTTACGAATAAGAAAAAACAAACAAAAAACAATGTAACTTTATTCAATAATCTCATATATACTATATGGGAATAAGATGAAGAAACCTGAGAACAGAACTAAGAGATCATCTAAACCCCGCTTGGAGCAGAGCAACATACCTCAAACCATTTTAGGTAGTGGGCATTCAATGAATAACTTCTATTTTACTTATATAAAACATAGAGTAGGATTATGTACAGTATAGTTCCACAATTCTCATGCTTTATTATTATATGTGTAATTATATCTAGACTGTAATACAAAAGCGGACAATGAAGGTAATTCTTTTAATTATTTCTTACCACTGCGCATCAATGCCACAATTTCTTCACGTGTAAGATCATTTTTATTCCTGACTTCGTATTTCAAGTTTGTGAATGTTTCCCTGAGGTTTGCTGCATCTACATCCGTACCAGACCGAGGTGACATTCCTTGGAACGGAAAAAATTACTTTTAATTGCATTTTAAGAAAGATAACTGCTCTGAAATGAAATAAACTATTCAGCAATTCACACGATCCACAGTAAGTTTTTCCTTTCAAATGCTAAGAAGATTCAATTATTCTGATCATGGTGACACAAAGTCTCTTTAACTTCTTAGCATTTATAAGACGCTTCATAATACAAGCTGTATCAGTGTCACAGTCACAAGGATATCTTTCACTGCTGCTTAGACAGTGAACAACAGAAACAAATGCCTACTGAGAAGGGTTTGGTTCAACAAATTATGATTCATTTATATAATGGAATAATGGAATACTATGTTTCATTAAAATTTTTGTAAACAAAATTTTGCCAGGAAAAATTGGTCATTGTTTAAAAAAAAAAAAAGACTAGGAAACAATATGATCCTACTTTTAAGAAAAAATTATATATATGTAACAATACACACATCTCGCACACTCAGAGAAACTGTATTTCTTTGATTTTAAGTTCCCAATGATTTTAAGATACATTACTACTTTCACAGTATCTTTTCAGGAAAAAAATCACAAACCACTACCACGTTAATACTGTTCATCAGGCATTCTGCTGTGGGTAATCTCCTCTAAGCCTTCCATCCACCACCAGACAGTTATTATGACTGCTTCATTGTGCAGATGTGGGACGTGGAGCACAGAGAAGGCCAGGAACTTGTATGAAGGACACAGCGTGTGCTAGATCTGCATCCCAGGGTCCCGGGCTTTCCTCCCTCCTTTACAGTACCTTCCACAGAAACATACGGACTGACTGTACGACGCACTCAGATTTGAAAATGCTAAAGCATTGGGGGTAACACGTCTTAGAAGTGAGTAAATTTAATACGTATGAATGGAAAAAAGACTAAATATCTTTATCGCCAAAATATTGTTCTCTCTGAGTAGTGTGATTATGAGTGATCTTAATTTTCTCTTTTGCTAATTTATAATTTCTGAAATTTCTATTATGGTCGTATATTATTTCTGCTAAATTAAAATAAGCTCATCAAGGTTTGACATTGGAAAGGCTGAGGACACAATGCAGCTGTGTGACTTGGTGACTGAATTCTGGTCCTGGTTTGTGAGCCACTTAGCAGTAAGACAGAAAACACCAGGCTGTCAGAGATCGTTGTGAGAATCTGACCTTCAAATTTCAAAGCAGAAAAGGAGCTCACTCTAATGCCTAAGCCAGACTACTGGTCCAAGTATTTTTGGGGAGGAGTGGAACTATGTGCTTTTTTATTGTTAAAGAATAGGTTCAGCAACGTGAATTTCTATAGGAAGAGGGCATCATAACTAGCAATGTGAGGCAGAATGTCTAATGGTTGAAGGTGGTATCTCAACTTATAGCCAAAAGTAATAAAAATGATACCATTCAGACTTCCATTTTCAACTACTCTTTCTCTCACTCCGTATAATCTACCACCAAACCCTGCTTATCTTTCCAGTGTAATCTGGCTTCTTTCCATTTTCACCAGCACTCTGGTAGACAGCCTCCTAAACTGGATCTGCTGCTTCTAGTTTCTTTAATTAAAAATTAATTCTAATATGATTAATATGCCAAGTCAAAGAATTATCACATCACCAATTTGAAAATATAAAATGGGGAAATAGCCAAAATGTTCACTCATAGGGTAGCTTATGCAAATTAAGGGAATGGGTATGTTTCAGGAATGGAGTATCATACAATCACTAAAATAACATGAAAATTCTACAACATGAAAAACGCTAATATTACATGAAGTGGAACAAGCAGGATACAATATTGCTTGCATATTATGAATAAAATTAAGCTTTAAGAGAAATTGTCAAGGAAAAATGTATCAAGTAATACATCACGATGTTAATTAGCTTTTTAGGATCATAAAGGATTTGATTTTTTTATATTCTCTGAAAAAAAAATTCTAAAATGCATTTATTAGATTCAATAGTACACAGAATAGAGACTGCGAAGGGGATTTTGTGATCAGGCCATGGTGAGCCTGAGAAGGCAATGTCAGCAGAGTGGCAGGGGTAGAAAACAGAAAAACAGGTTCAAGAGAGATGGAAAGAAGTGAAGATGGCAAGCTTAAAGTACATGCTTGCAAAATTTAAGGAAGGAGACAAAAATCAGATCAAAGCTTAAGAGGAAGCAGAGTAAAAGAAAGGTCTCTTTAAGATGCGGTCTGTCATCTTTGTAAGGAAGAAGAAAAAGTCAGTAGAGCAAAGGAAGACGCAAGGGAGTGAGGCAGCACAAGTGGATTCAGAGCTTGGACTGGTGGGTAGGCACAGCAGGGCTGTGTCCCAGCGCTGCTACTGAAGTATCTGTGTGAGTCTGTGCAAGGATGCTACTTTCCGCATCTAATAGAGGTTCCTTTTCAGAGTTGTAAAAATTGAATGAGACAGTATCTGCGAAGTACCTTGCACAGTTCCTGGAAAGGAAAAATACTACTACTTACTATTTGTTGTGACCCTTCCATTAGCATAAAAGAGGGAGCAGGAGGATAAAGAAGCAAGGGTTACAGAGAAGTCAGGGCAGAAGAGGCCAACATACAGATAGGAGGCTAGCTGTTGGAAAAGGGAGCGATTTTGATGATGGGCAGAAGATTAACAGCTTATGTTGTATTGTAGGACCTGTAGGTCCTGCTCTAGCTCTACTTCATGGCTATTGTGTCATAGTTTACTAACTAATAATATCAACACTATTATTTATACTACACCAAATACAAATGGTACAAATATTTGAAAAGGATTAAAAATTATGTTATGATACATACCAGTACTTTTATGAAAGTTCTTATTATTAATTATTATACATAAACCCATTTCAGGATAATCCATTTTGTAACTATTATCCAAGGATATTCCAGAGTCTGTTGATTTGCTTCCACGTAAGATCCTTCTGTTTGGAAATCAAACAATAGTTTACACAGACAGAAATGACCAGTGCTGCTGTTCACATTAATACAACTTTTAAAACACGTAAGAACAGTTAACATTTTTGGATGTAATGTGTCAGGCTATGTGCTACAGGCTTTTCCTCACTTAAATTTCACAAAAACCCATTTCATAGATGAGGAAAGGACCACCATGAGGGTAAGGAACGTGCTGACGGTTATGCAGACACCATGGTGTCAGAGCCAAGGCTGAAAGCATCTGTTGGACTTCAGAGTTCAGGCTTTTAATCTCCATATTTTGTTTCCCTGTAAATTTTATTAAAATTTCATCAAACACATTTTATACTTTAAAAATTTCTTGTAACTTTGTGAAATATTTTATCCTTCAAGGTAAGAGTAAAATCTTAAAAATTACCCTGGAATTATAGGAAATCAACAAAATGCAAATATGACTCAAAGCACAATATTTAACACAATTGCTAAATTGTTCCTTAAACCCTATGAGCTGAATAAATCAATAATTTATTAATACATAGAATGACTATTGTGAACAATTGATAATACTTGTCTGAAGGTCACTTATTGAAAAATCTCTGTTATCTAGACCAGGATCAGTAAACTTTCTCTCAAAAGGGCCAAATATTAAGTCTTTTAGGCTTGTGGGCCCTACAGTCTCTGTTGCAGCTACTCCATTCTGCTGGTGACAGCAGCTCAGGACAATATGTAAATGAATGGGTGTGGCCATGTTCCAATAAAACTTGACCAAAACAGACTGCAGGCTTGACCCCTGATCTAGACCAAGAATCAGGATGTAACAGGTCTAGGAACAGCCAAACATGGATACCTAAAGTCCATGTACTCATGCACTTAACCTGCCAGTATACCACATTACACACAATTCTAAAAAGATTAAAATAGTAAATTAGCGCAGTCAAGGTCAGAAACAAACTATTATATTTAGCTAGAGGTGAGGATCCCCACATTTTACAGATGAAAAAATTAAAACTCTTGAAAGCTGAGTGACTTGTTGAAGGTCATACAGACAATGGATCACAGAACTGTAATTCCCTACCACCTGCTGCAGCCTCCTCAGGAGGTAGGTGCCCCTCTACCAGCAGTATGATAGCTAGACAGGCAGGGGGCATGCCTGACAAAGAGCAGAGACTCCAAAGGCCTAGGAACTCGAGGATAATTTATCACAGGATCAAAACAGACCTAAATCTGTTTTGGGCTCCCATGCCCTTTGCTATTAAATTATATTCTGTACGATATGAAAAGGTTAAGAAAATGTGTAAATCACTTTAAAAGGGTTTTTTTAAAAAAAAACAAAAAACTTCTAAAATGAGATCACATTTCAAAAGTTTAATTTCTAGGAAAATTCCTTTGTGAAACAAATATTGCTAAATCTTTATGGGTAACCTGTTAATAGTATTGCTGTAATACTATTGTTTAGTACTAAAATTAGTTTGTAATTCCCTGGGTTGTTCCCAATAATAATACTGGGTCTCAGAAATAAACTTTTAGAATTAAAAGTATCACAAGAGATCCCAAATGGTTAATAACAGATGTGAATTAAATCAAGAGTGTTTGAGTTTTATCTTTTTCCTTTCTCCCTCTGCTGGTTATTGGAAGCACTAATAAGCAGAATATTTCAAAAAAAGGAAGACTGAGAAAAACAAAGCCTAAAAGATAATCTATAAACAGGCAATTCTTCCCCAGACTGAGAATTAGCAATTCATTTTAGTCTTAAAACTTATAAATAGATAGGAGGCCAAAACACTCCCTGAAACATAAAACCTCTCATCCTACAAGTGATTTGGGAAGGTACAGAAGCATCCAGACTTGCATGTTCTGCCTCTCCCATGCATCCTTCTGCTTCTGAGATGGGGTTTCCACTATGGGTAAGACACAGTACCTGGTCTTCCCCTCAATCCTCCGTACAGTTCCATGAAAGTTTTATTTTAAAGACGAGATTCTAGGGCCAGCCCCGGGCTTAGCAGTTAAGTGTGCGCGCTGTGCTACTGGCAGCCCGGGTTCGGATCCTGGACAAAAGGCGGCGTCCCACAAACAGCAACTAGAAGGATGTGCAACTATGACATACAACTATCTACTGGGGCTTTGGGGAGAAAAAGGGGAAAAAGAAGGACGAGGATTGGCAATAGATGTTAGCTCAGGGCCGGTCTTCCTCAGCAAAAAGAGGAGGATCAGCATGGATGTTAGCTCAGGGCTGATCCTTCTCACCAAATAAATAAATAAGTAAATAAAATAAAATAAACAAATAAATAAATACGAGATTCAGAGAGGATCAGTTAACACGTGTAAAGCCACACAGCTGGTGAGGTAGAAAGTCAACTGGGTCTCCCTGGCTTGAAAGCCCACCCTCTTTCTGCTTCCTCACTCCTCCAAGTCTCCTGTATTACATACACCTGTCTTTTCTGATTATAAAAGATTCCATTTAAATACTTACGTTTCCGAATTTTTAAAGGATTTTGAATCCACTGAGTTTTCAGAGTTCTCCATGGATACTTTTATTAACTAGAATATATAGAAAACAGAAGTTAATCAAAGTCAGTCATTAAGAGCACTGCACTATATTAATTATTCCAATGATTATCTCTCCAAATACTTTATATGGACATTTTCACATTAGGATTATCACTCCTCCCCAAGCTTCACCTCTACTGTTAAAGGTTTCTGTGAGTCAAACTTGAAAACAATAATCCTTTGTAAGGGTATGTGTAATATAGCCCATCTCTCTCTCTCAATCTCTTTTAATTGAGCTATGAAGTACATATAGTACACAGATAAGAAATGTGCAGCTCGATAAATTTTTACATTTGTATACCCCCACCACATCAAGATACAGATTGCCACTTGTTTCTATTACAATAGATCAGGTCATTGGTAAGAACTCAGCCTTCAAACTCAACACAGTTAAAAACCAAAAACTTGAAAAATAAGGACGAAACAATCTTGACTTTCTCCAGCCTCTAGAAGCCCTGGCAATCTCAAAAATTCCAATCAAAATACAACTTTAACTTAACTCCTATGCTAAAATCATAAATCTTAAAAGAATACACAACCCCATCAACAGGACTCAGTCAACCATAAAAGCCTTTACAGAAAGTCCAAGCCTCCCACCCCCTTCTTAAATTTTTTAAATTGTCATAAAATATACACACATTCTACCATTTTAACCATTTTTAAGTGTACAGGTCAGTGATATTAAGTACAGTCATCCTGTTGTGTAACCATCACCACCATGCATCTCCAGAACTTTGTTATCTTCCCAAACTGAAACTCTGTACCAAAGCCCCTTCTTTTCAAGGTCTCCTGAAAGCTAAGTTCTTTCTTAGCTCTCTCTTCTTGCAAGAACTCTCAGTTCTACTCTTCTCTAAAGCTAAGTTCTTTCCTCCTCTCTCCATAAGTACTGTGTGCACGTACAGTGGGGAAAGATGGCAAAAACAATATGGAAAAGAGGAAGTGTCAGGACCCCTGTTTAACCACAGGGGAGGGCAGTGTTTCACCTTCTCTCAAAGGTAGTCTTTGTTTTTGCATTTCTCTAACGGCTTTTTGCTTTTCTACCATCTTACTTCCTGTAGGTTTTCTAGAAAACCAAGGGAAGATGACTACAACTGGAATGACACATCTTTTAGTCAGTAAGCAAATATCTGGTGGCACGTGCTTTGTGCCAGCTACCATTTTGGGCACTAGGACAGGGTGGAAGATAAGACAAAGTTCCTACCTTCAAGAATCTTTCATTCTAGAGAGGAGGACTAATTATAGATTGATAATAAGATTTCAGATACTGACAGGGGCTATGAAGAAAATAAAACAGGGTAAAGGAATAGACTGGGAGTGTGAGCTCCTTTAGCTAAGGTGATTGGGGAAGTCATCTCCGAGGTGACATTTACACTGAGATCTAAGTGACACAGAGGCTACCAACTGAGGCTGTTCTTGCTGGAGGAAGGACCAGCAAGTACAAAGGCCCTGGAAGAGCTTGGGGTATTCATGGTGCAGAAAGAAGACCAGTTCGACTAGTCCAGGGTGAAGGAAGGGAAGGCGTGAGAGGAGATGAACCAGGAAAGGCAAGATCACACAGGGCCTTAGGAGCCAAGAGGAGCTTCCAGTCTCTCCTAATTGCAAGGAGAAACCTTTGGAGTGTTTTAAGCAGATGAGGGACGCATGCTTTAAAAAAATCACTCCGGCTGCTGAGCAGAGAATCGACTGTAGAAGGTTGAGTGGAAGCATATAGGCCAATGAGAAGCCTTCTGGAACAGTTCCGGAAAGAATGCTGGAAGCTTGGACTAGAGCTCAACAGTGGATATGGGTAGCTAAGAACCTGGAACTGAGAGGGACATCAGGGCCGGAGATTACCGGGGCACTCTGATGTTTAGAGGGTTATTAGAGGAAGCAGGGCCAGCAAGAGACTAACGAGAGTGAAGGAAACGGGGGAAAATCAGATGACTGTGCTGTACCCAAGCATGCAGAAGTCTTTCAATGAGTGTTGGATAGTTTCGAGTCTTGCTAAGTGGTTAATTTAGATGAGGAAAGAAAACCACTTGCTTTGGCAAGAATGTCCATATAGTACAGATTGTCAAAAAAAATTGTCCAAGACTTGGAATGGGCAAAAGAAATTACTAGATAATTTTAGTGCAGTGCTGGGCACTGTCTAGAGGAATCTCGGGGATTATCTGATTTTATGGGGTGTCCTCTTTTGATCGACCTTCTACTGACTAGGCTATTTTACAGCTCTGTGGGAAGTTAAGCCATAAAAAACAGATAACCAGACAAATGACTCTTGTCTACAGAAATGAAAATTAATTTTATCTTGTTGTCTTTGATGCAATGGATTTCCAACCTGTAGAAGAGATGCCCCTCCCAAACTACATTCTATTGCCTGACAGGACATTAACCAGTTTTGCTTCTATTAGCAAATTCGTTTTATTATACCCAACCGTCTACATCTACGTCTGCTCTTCAAATTCTCCTTTGAACTGGTCTTAACATCTTACTGGTTCTATTATTAATCAATCAATTGAATAAAATATTTGACAATTTATTTTATATTTACACAACAGCCAAGTTTTACTTTTTGAAAATTGTATTTTAAAAGGATCAAGGTTGCTGCAGTGAGTTGAAAGAATGGGAGAATGAAGATGAGTAAAGATGACAAAAGTGAGTTAGCACAGTTTTGCCATGAAGGGGAAAGGAGAAATGGGACAGTAGGTGGAAGGGGACAAGAGGTAGAGGAGATTTCTTGTTTTGTTTGGTTTTAAAGATGGGACATATGTGTCCCATCAGCATGTGTTTATGCTGATGAGAATGATCCGTGGAAAGTGAGAAACTAATAATAGGCAAGAGGAGAGAAAGTGAAGTTCTTGATGGGATGCAAGGCTTTGCAAATCTAGCTCACATATGGAGAAGCATTAGTCTCAGATAAGAACAAGCAGGGTTCACCTACTGTATTGTGAAGGAAGGATGACTAACTCTTTGCACCCAACATGTGGAGGCTGGTGAATCTGATGGAAGGACGATGAGGTATTTCTTATATGATTGCACATGATAAACTATGAGACAAGAATCCCCAAATATCCTACCTCTACTTTCATGTGTACTTACCACATATTTTACCAAGTAGTACCAAAAACTAATCACCCACAATGCTAGCAAAAGTGTATCAGACAGGCATTCTCATATACTACTAGAAGGGACACAAATTGGTATCATCTCTTGAGAACATTTTGACAACGTGTCCCCCCACGCCTCAATAAAAGCCTTGACGTTTGATCTAGTAAAATTACACTTCTAAGAATGTAGCCTAAGGAAGTAACACCAGAGATTGGGGAGAGGCGGGAAAGAGCAGGAAATGCATTATTCATGAAAATATTGAGAATTTGAACAGAGAAATAGTTAAGTTATAGTATATCCATACATTGGTTAATACAGCCATAAAGCTTTTTGAAAGAACCTATCAATAACCTGGGAAACGCACGTAACATAAGGCTAAGTAAAAAAAAGGCTATAAAACTGTGTAAAACAATATAATCTCAATTAAAATAAACACAAGAAAAAGACCAAAAGGAATTATACAGCATCTTTACATATTAACCTATTTATTAACAGTGGCTATCTCTGGGTGATGGGAATACTGACAACTTATTTATTCCTTCATATTTTTCTGTATTTTTTCATTTTTCTGTAACAGCTGCATTGTTTCTTAAGTTATAAAATAGTAACAAAGATTATTTTATAGAATAATATCTATCGGGGCTGGCCCAGTGGCATAGTGGTTAAGTCCGTGCGTTCTGCTTCAGTGGCCCGGGGTTCGTGGGTTCAGATCCTGGGTACGGACCTACACACCACTCATCAGGCCGTGCTATGGTGGCATCCCACATACAAAATAAGAGGAAGATGGACACAGATGTTAGCTCAGGGGCAATCTTCCTCAAGCAAAAAGAGGAAGATTGGCAACAGATGTTAGATCAGGGCCAATTTTCCTCACCAAAAAAAAAAAAAAAAAAAACTCTCTCAACAATGGTAGACTGCATCAAACAGGATTATGCTAGCCAATTTCAACTCTCAGCCCTGTTTCAAGAGTGACAAAAATAGGGATTCTCTACTACTATGAAAGTTGCAATGCTTCCTTAACTGCTCTCTACCATGTTCCAGGCCATCTGCTTTTCTCTTTTTCTTTCATACATACAATAAACATGTATTAGGTGCAGGGAAATCTCAACTTCCTTGAATCATAAATATCATAGAGACCAACTACTTGCCCCTATGCATGCCAATGCTAAGTGGGCAGACCATAAGTCAAAGTAATTATCCATCCATGCTTGAAAAACAAAGTTGTGGTTACTTTGATTAATTGAGAGAACAGTACAGAGTGGCTAACAATTCTGGAAACACAGGCAAATACATAATAAGTAGTTTATTGACATTACAATCCACAAGAAAATAATCTTATCTGTGTTTCAAGGCTTTATGGCCAGTCTGTAGAAAATCTGGAGTGAAAACACAGTGGGAAAGAAGACTTAATAAACATGATAATTTCTGAAGCTGGACACGGAGCTTCTGCCAGTGTCCTTTCTGGCCCCAGGGTTCACCTCAAATTGGCCCTGGGAATGAGTTTGCCAAAGTAGGGTACACAGTATGTGTTCAGGAACACCTAAATGCTGATAGGTTCCCACCAATAATCAAGGCCCTAACAATATATCTCTTATCAAACACTTCTGCAAACAGTGCAGTGATTCTTGGGCTGAAACAATAACTTCTTACAACCTTTTGATCTCTTGCCAATGATAAAGCTGTGGGATAAAACAATTCTATCCTATGATTGGAATAGACGGTTTAGATTTAAAGAGTGATTAGCTTTCCAGAGTTTAAAAATATTTGGATTCTCGGCTTGTACCAATGTTAAGATTTAATCGAAATATTAGGTAACTTTTAAGTAGTCGTTTCCTTTCCATACATTTAATCAACTTTCTTTAACCAAATAATCCTTAAAATTTAAAAGTTTCAGATAGATCAGC